TCTAGTATTTACTAAGCTAATAAATATATAGTGTTAATACTGATTCATTTTAAGTAATAAAGCTTCCCCAATATATGATTTTAAATTCGCGTGACATTTGGAAGTTACTTGTATTTGTGGTAGGTGAACATTTGCAAGTACTCGCTATTAGCAGTGACTTTAAATTTTATCTTTTGTCGCCTCCTGGTGGTAGAACATTTTTCTCACTCGTCTTTTGCACTTGAAGTTCTTTCTTGTTGCTAAGGAAAATCTCTAAACTAGGAAAATCAGTTAACTTTAGCATTGATAGTCAAGCATTAAACTTTAGCACTGATAGTCAAGTATTAATGTATACTAAGCATGCTGTAGGCACTTAATAAATATCTGTTTAATGAATGAACGAGGTTTTAATTTGATTTCGTGGATCGCAATGTCTATCGTCTTTTCGTTTGAATTGCATAAAGCCCTCAAATGTGACGAGTGAAAGTGATCCACAGTATTATATTATCAGAGGTAGATTTTTTTTTTTTAAGTTTAACTGATTTTTGGTTTAAGCTACTAGAGCTACAAGATTAAAAAGTAGTTGCCTAGGGAATTTTATTATTATTTTAACAATATAAATATAGTTAAAATTACAATATTTAAAAAATATTTTCCATGAGACCAAAAGATAAGAGAAAAATTGATTAAAATGTATTAAATAGAATTGAAAAGGTGTAAAACCTTTGCAAATCCCTATTAAGAAAAACTTAGCTCTACATCATTTGTTGTGGACTGGCGCCACCTCGTGGACTGAAAAAGAGGGACTAGAGGCTGTGAATCTTTTAAGGTGGAAATTTTTTATTGCCAGAAAATTCCAATTTAGAATTTAAACGAAATTTAATCATTGGAAACAACAGCAATAACAAGTCTAACAACACACTTACCTACCGAAAAATTAGATCGTTAAAATGCCAAAGGGCATTTGATTAAAAATTATGAGTCAGAGTCATTCTAAGCCCTCAACTGGGCTACACTTAGGCAAGCCACTTAACCGGTTTGAGGCTCAATTCCACATCTGCCAAACAAGGGGAGTGGATTGGAGAAATTATACTTTTCTCGGTTCTTGCAAACGCATGGCTTTAGGGGTCATAGCAATTTTACGTCCAAATGCAATTTACAGTAATTTTTCTGTTTTCAATATTTGTTATATTTCTGAGCCTAGAATCTGCTTAAAATAAATGTTTTCTATTATCTCATTTATGATCAAGTAAAATATCCATTTGTCCAATATTATCTTAGACCATATGTTCTAAAAGGAGCACTAATGTTAAACAGCTTTCCCATTTCCAATTGGTAAATCCTATGGTATGAAAATATAAATAAATAACATTACATGTTTATGAAATATATACATTAATCATTTCTGTAGATGTTTACTCTAGAACAATGCTAATAGCTCCTGTATATTACCAGATTCCCTCATTTCATAGCTACTTGTTGAATACTTAACTTGGTCTACACGTCTTAAGAATTATGAATCGAATATTGTGTCTGTAATATATGAATAAGTGAACCACACAAACCTGTAAGGTATAAGTAAAAATTACTCGTTTATTTCTTTTACTTTAGAATGCATGAAATTTTTTCTTTTCTCTATTAATAGAAGACAAGAATGCTTTTAAAAGATCAAATTGTTAATTGTAAGAATATTTTTATGTCAAATATTTTAACTTTCATTAGATCATCTGTACAAATAAAAATCCTTTAAGGTCTATAACTGAGAACATATCAAGATTTATGTTTATAGAAGCACATATGTGTTCTATAAAAAGAAAATCAGAAATATGGTAGGGGTTAGGACAGGACACGATCTTTTGGGTGCACATCCAAATAAAAAAGCAAACATTTTATAAGGATGTGAGTGTGAAACTTACTTACAAGGACCTACTAGTACATGTCTCTTTTACTAGTGCCATGTACAAATTTTACTCCTTTGGTCTTATTTCTACAGCAAAATATTTTTTCAATTCACGATTTTCTTTATCAATATACATATATATTATATGTATATACTTGTGTGATACCCCAAACACCCAAAGAGTGCTGGTTTAAAAAAAGAAGGAAAAGGTAAGTAGATTATATGTTCTTCTGAGCATGGATGGAGTTTTTCAAGCTTAGTAATTGGCAACTCTTACGTCGATGCCTCTGTTGAAGTGATTTAAAGAGAATCATTTCCCAGAACTACAGGTGCACAACAGATTGGAGTCATTATGCAAAAGAACAGAAATCTGGAGAGAAACCCAGTGAATAAAAAAGTCATGTTCCTGGCCATTCTTCTGCCTTTAGCTCTCTGTTTTTTCAGCTCCATTTGGATATACAACACGAAATACGCAAAAATTTTAATGGATTTGAAGTAAGCCATTCAAGATCAGAAATGTACATCTTGAATTAAACTTCCAATAAGAACACACTGGAGGCAGAAATGGACTAAAGACCAACCTTGCATTAATGTATTTTAGAAGTTAAAGTTCACATAGGGGGTTGACAGACTGGAATGCATTACATGAGTTTTTAGAAAATTACACATTCTCTGCTGGTCTTCTGAATTTCCCATCCTGTCCCAATTCAATGGAATCACATTTACTCTTACTGATCTGTTAAGTGTCTCAGCCTCTGAGCCACCACAAGTATCTGAAATCTCCATCTCAAAGCCAGTCCGAGGCCCCAACTGCTGGTCACCATATATTGTTTCCAGAGCCTTCTTCTAAACAAGAGATCTGAAAATTTATTGATGCCTTTGCCATCATGTTTTCATGATTCCATAGTCAATATCTTGTAAGATGACTTTTCCTCTAATGTCCTCCCAAGTATCAAACTTTTCATCCAGCTAGAGAGAGAGGACAAATGAAATGAAATCATAAAAAATAGAACGTTAAAAAAACTACCTCAACAGAGGAGGGAAATGTTTAAAAAAAGTCTGGAAACCAAACTGAGGAGCAGGGATGTTTGGGAAATGACACTTGTGAAACAGAGAAGAGTAAGTCTCTTGATTCAAAGATGGACAAACTTAGGCTACACAATGTAGTAATGAATGGGGCCACTCATGAGTGTGTATATCAATATTAAATTTGAAGGACAAATGGAATGGGGTGAGAGAGGGCTGCCAAAGAGAGATGGAGTGAAAGGGGGTGGGCAGAAAAGGTGTCAAAATACCAGTTAGATGGTGGGAAAGTGGAAGATAGAAGAAAAGAGAAAAACTAGTGATTGAGATATCTTAAGCTGCTGTTAAAACAGAGGTAATTCCTGGGTTAATCGTTCAGCATTTAACTGTGACAGTGACCCTAGGAAATGAAATTTACATTTAAGAAAGCATCCATCCCTAGCGTGTGGGGAGCAGGGGTTGTTATTAAGCCCTTTCAAGAGTGAAGCGATCTTTGCTTCTGTGTCATCCTTTCTCCTTTGATCTCTCCTAAAGAGTGGAAAGCAAAGTTTTTGTTTTGTTTTTGTTTTTCAAGTAGGCGATCTAGAACTCTGAGAGAAAAGAGGAAGTTGGAAAGTATTCTGAAAGCAAAAGTTGGAAGAGGGACATGTTGGAGGACTTGAAGGGGACGCTTCTGGCCAGGACAGAGCGAAGTTGAGATCTGGGGAGGAGTGAGGAAAAGGCCGAGATAAAACTTGGTGAAAACTGAAGGGCGGGGGCGGCGAGACAGGAGACCGGGTAGGGCAGGGAAGTGGGAGCGCGCGAGTGTGAGGGACAAGGGTCTGCCCCCGGATCGGGGCGGTCGTTCTCACCATTGTCCCGCTGGTTTTCCGCCTCTGGAAGCATTATGAAACATTTCCTTCCTCTGTGTCATTAGCCCCTCCCTCTTTTTCGATGGAAGGGCTGCTCGGCTTTTTCTTAGGGACCTAGAGGTGGAAAGGCTCAGCTTTTCTCGCTTTCAAAACACGGATGCAGCCTTTTCCCTTCCTGGTGGGAAGAGGCGGGAGGGATCGGGAAGGAAGCCGACTTCCTAATTTCCCCACTGCACGCTTTCTAGCCCCAGCGATCCCCCTGCTCCCTGGGTGGAAAAGTGGAGTTCCTTGACCTTTCTGAAAGCCTGGCCTACGTCCTGTAGCTACTATTAGGTAGAAGGTGGCAGACTGGGCAGGAGTTGATTATTTCTCCAAAGAAGAAGAGAGAGCGCAATTCCCTCCCTAGGCTCTAGGGAATTGAACCGCGGTCCAGATCACCTATTCCGGAAGTGTGAACTCGGGTCCCCACCGAGAAGTCCTCTAAGGCGGGGGAAGGGGAGGGTGACGGTGGAAGGAGGAGGAGTGAAGGTCAGTGCAAACGCATTTTAAAATCAAGAGCCTGGCAAGTGTCTCCTGGCCCCCTCGCCCAGGCATGCCTTCTGGGGGGAAGCGCTGGCCCAACCAAGCTTTCCCCGAGAAAAGTGGGGGCGAAGAGAGTGCATCCTGCAGCAAACCGGGACCGTGGCAGGCCAGGGAGATGGAGAGGTGGGGTGGGGTATTTTTCTAGAAAGGGCAGTCCTGGCTCATCTCCCAGATGGGCGAGGAGGGGACTGCGGGGGGGCATGGTGATAGAAGGAGGCGGCGCAGGGACAGCTCCCGGGCAGGGCAGTCTTGGAGAAGCGACTCAGCTCTCCACCCGCACCGTACCTTCTGGGAACTGCAGCCCAGCGCGCGAACTGCGCTCCCGCACCAGAAGGGCAGCGGGAAGGGAAGGTGGTCCGGGAACCCGGCGAGGGGGAAAGGCGCGGTGGAAGGGAGTACTTTCTCCCCGAAGCAGCCCCAGACGTACAAACTGCTGGTCACAGCGCCCCTCCTGCGTCTTCCGCCCCCAGACTGACGAGCCTGTGGCGCGGAGCCAGCGCGGAGGCCGCCCCCTCCCCCGCCCGGGCCCGCGGCGCTGAGCGCGGTTTAGCACCGAGTTTAGGGGGCGGTGTCTTCGGGATGGAAAGGCGGCCAAGAGGGAGGAGGAAGGGGTGGGGGAGGGGAGTTGAGACGTAGAGTGAGACTATAAAAGGGCTGCTCGGGCTGCCCGGTTCTTGCACTCGCTGGAAAGCGGCTCCGAGCCAGCGGCTATTCCAAAGCCAGGGCGTGCAGTAGGAGCGAGAGGACATAGCCCTGCGCAGAACGAGCAGCACCGCGGCCAAGGCAGCGGCCGAAGAGGGGCTCCAGGCACCGATCCTCGCGTTGCCCCCTGCCCTGGAGGCGTCCTAGGGCGCTTCTCGTCCCCGCTTCCCCGCAGCAGCCACCTCGCCAGCGCCTGCTGCGCGGTGCCTCCAACTCTGCGCTAGAAGAAAAACTTCCCGCGTGTCGGCATAACTGCAGCGCCTCCTCCTAAGTGCCCCGCCTGCGGCTGGCTCTGCGCGCACTTGCAAAGAATAATAGTAATTAACTTTAAAAACTCCGAGCGAGGCCAGCGAGGCTCTGCGCTCCCGACCCGAACAATAGCCCCCTCGCTCGGTGCGCTCCGGCGCGCGGTGCCTCCCAGGGCTCGGGTGCAGCAAGCGGTCCCCGCGGAGTTCCGAAGGCGCACGGCAGGCGGCGACATGGGGAACGCGGAGCTGGCGCGGCGGTCTCGGGGCTTGCAGCCTGCGCCCGCGCTGCTGCTGCTCGCGGCGGCCGCAGCACTACTGGTCGTGCCGGCAGTGCGCGGGCGCCCGGCCGAGGAGGACGAGGAGCTGGTGCTGCCAGCACTGGAGCGCGCCCCGGGACACAGGACCACACGCCTGCGTCTGGACGCCTTCGGTCGTGAGCTGCTCCTGGAGCTGCAGCCGGACCGCGGCTTCCTAGCGCCCGGCTTCACGCTCCAGACCGTGGGGCGCAGACCTGGGCCCGATGCGCCGAGTCCAGACCCCGCCGGCGACCTGGCGCACTGCTTCTACTCCGGCACGGTGAACGGCGACCCCAGCTCGGCCGCCGCTCTCAGCCTCTGCGAGGGCGTGCGCGGCGCCTTCTACCTGGAGGGCGAGGAATACTTCATCCAGCCCGCGCCCGCCGCCGCCACAGTGCACCTCGTCCCCGCCGCCGCCGGCGGGGAGCCGCCGGCGCAGCCCCAGGTCCATCTGCTGCGGCGAAGGCGGCGGGGCGGCGGCGGCGCCAAGTGCGGGGTCATGGACGACGAGACCCAGCTCGCGAGGGGCGCGCGGCCGGAGGGCGAGGACGCCGGGGCGCAGTGGCCGCCGCGGGACCGGGCGCCGCAGCGCGCCGGAAAGCCAACAGGTATCAGTCCCAGAAGAGTTGCTTTCCCTTGTCTTTCCATCCATCCACCTCTCCCCTCTTTCTCTGTGCGACGCGACTTAAGAGTAGACTACTGTTCGCAGGCAGGAGCATAGGTCTGCGGACAGGACGGAGACCGGTGTGGCGGAGCGTGGCTTGAGGTTTGGGTTGGCGAACTAATCAAATCCTGCTAGAACACTTAATTCCATTTGCCCGAATAATGAATGATCACGACAGGACAGACAAATCAACCATTTTCTGCTAAGGCGAAGCATTTGGACCGGGAAGGGAAAGTTGGTAACGCAACTCCTTGCACCTGAGTCGAGTGTGAGCGTGTGCGATTTCTTTCCATCCTGTTAATTTCTTTATAACGATTGTGCATGTGTTCTTTGGTCGAGTTGCAACTTTGCGCTTAGTTTTGTAGCCGCTGCCTGTGCGCGCACCCTGCGCCCAGAGGAGAGCGGAGATGGAGGGCAGAGGAGCGAGGGTGACCTCGGAATGTGCCGCCCGCGAGCCTGCACAGCTGCACTTCGGTCTCTGTTGTCCCTTTCCCCCTTTATGAGGCTAACCCCTGTCGGCTGGCGGCGGCGGGGCCCCTCTGCAGAACCTGCTTGGGAGGTCTTTGCCCGGCTTGCCCCGCCTCCCGGCGCCTCCGCCCGGCCTCCCAGTTTGCGCTCCCTCTCGCGGCCATACTTCTGCTCTCAAGCCCTGCTGAATGTTAGTTACCGCTGATCCTTCTTGCTACGCCTTCCCCTGACTCGGTTGTGTGCAGTGCTTACTGTCCAGTCTTTTTCATTCTCTTCCTTTGGTACCTTTTTTCTTCGTTAACATGCTCACGCGTCTTGTTTGAGAATTCTCCTCTTTTCTCCCGCTACATTTGCTCCTTGAAGCAGTTATGTGCTCACAGCCCAGTTTGGGACTTCCCTGGGGGCTGGGTCTCGGGCAGGAGTCGGAGGGCTCTTTTCTAAATCATCAACGGTGGCTCGAGGCAGGAACTTATTTCCCTGGGGCAGTGAGAGTGGGGCAGTAGGCTGCTGGGCAGAGTGGGTGGTCGTTGTGCCCGGATTTGGCAGGAGCAGTGCCCCCCAGGGACCCCTGGAATGAGAGAGCAGAGCAGTGCAGGCTGAGATTCCTTCGGGCCCGGCCTCTTGGCAGAGGCCCCAGCCCTGCCCTGGGCCTTCCACGTGGAGCTCGATGATCTCATTCAGGATTTGAGTCCCGGCCTGTGAAAGAGTGACTCAGGGCGCTCTGCCTGCTGCCCTTGCTCCAAGTTTTTACTACAGCTGGGTAGGATGATGTGCATACTGCCTTGTTCAGATTGTAGGATTTCATAGAGAACAAAAGAAATCCTGCTCACAAAAAAAAAAAAAAGAGAGAGACCTGACCCCCCTCTGAGGAGCACATGGCCTTTCTATTTAAAGTAAAGGAGAAAACTTTAAAAATAACTTTTTCAGTGAAAAGAGATGCAAATATTTTTGTTATTGTTTTTCTGGGCATATTTTTGTTTTATTTGCCTTGACTGTTAGGCTTTCCTTATATATTCTGGGAAGGTAACTATTCTTGGCTAGGCTGCCCCTGAGCAAACTATCTTTCTTGTTTCTTTGCAGGAACTGGAAGCATAAGAAAGAAGCGATTTGTGTCCAGCCCCCGATATGTGGAAACCATGCTCGTGGCCGACCAGTCCATGGCAGAGTTCCATGGCAGTGGTCTGAAGCACTACCTTCTCACCTTGTTCTCCGTGGCAGCCCGGTTATACAAACACCCCAGCATTCGCAATTCCGTGAGCCTGGTGGTGGTGAAGATCCTGGTCATCTACGAGGAACAGAAGGGGCCAGAAGTGACTTCCAATGCTGCTCTTACCCTTCGGAACTTCTGCAACTGGCAAAAGCAACACAACCCACCCAGTGACCGGGATTCGGAGCACTATGACACAGCGATTCTTTTCACCAGACAGGTGTGAGGAATGCAGTACCCGTTACGATAGTGCCCTCTTAGGAGTCAGCTTTGTAACAAACACATGTATATAAGGCATTTCACCAATGTTTTTGCACTTATGTTTTTTTTAATTGGCTAGCATGGTCAATCTTACTTATTTCATCTATAATTTTATTTTGTTTTTTTATTTTTTTTTTCAATTTTTTGTTTATTGCAGTAACATTGGTTTATAACATTATATAAATTTCAGGTGTACATCATTATACTTCTATTTCTGCATAGATTACATCACGTTCACCACCCAAATACTAATTACAACCCATCACCACACACATGTGCCGAATTATCCCTTTCACCCTCCTCCCTCCCCCCCTTCCCCTCTGGTAACCACCAATCCAATCTCTGTCTCTATGTGTTTGTTTATTGTTATTATCGTCTATAATTTTAATATCTGGAATTTCACAGTCCTATTGGAATAGCATTAGGAAAAAATCTTGATTAAAGTTATAGGAAGTACTCCTAGAAGAACAGCTCAACAATAATGAATGTAGATGCTCCAAAACATATGTGAAGACACACCTTGCTAGAAAGTTAGATCCTAAGGTTGATGATCTGTCCCTATTAATAAGGATATACCTTTGCTCCTTGTAGGACCTGTGTGGGGCCCAGACATGCGATACTCTTGGGATGGCTGATGTTGGAACTATATGTGATCCCAGCAGAAGCTGCTCGGTCATAGAAGATGACGGCTTACAGGCTGCCTTCACCACAGCTCATGAATTAGGTGAGTCTGTTTCAGAGTAAGAGTTAAGCCCAATTCATGAATTCAAACTGATAAACAATATATTAATTTAAGAGGGAGAGTCTGCAGGTTATATTGTTATTTTAAGTGCCAGGGCTTCTTAGAAACTGCAGGAAATATTTTCCTACTATTCTAGATATGGTCGTCTTTATTAGAATACAAAATAAGATAGTAGGAGCTGTGGTCATTTGGAAATTTACATGTTTATTGGCACCTTGTGAGAAGCACACTTGTCTCCAAAATAGATTGTTTCTGAAATACGTTTCTTCCTCTGGAAATATCACTTTTGATAAAAAGGCATCCCTGTTAGGGGGAAAAAAAGCCACAAATGACCTATATTTTAATGTGGGTTTTGGATTGCTTCTTAGGTCACGTGTTTAACATGCCACATGATGATGCAAAGCAGTGTGCCAGCATTAATGGTGTCAACCGGGATTCCCACATGATGGCGTCAATGCTCTCCAATTTGGACCGCAGCCAGCCTTGGTCTCCCTGCAGTGCCTACATGATTACGTCATTTCTGGATAATGGTCATGGTAAGACAGTCGAGTTACTCTTTCTAGATTGCATCCAACTTCCCACATGTAGGGTCTTGTTAAACCAACTCTTTCTTTTTTTTCTTTTTATTTCCCTCCTTCAAAATTACTCTCACTGTCAAGATCATACATTTTTTTAATGTATTTATTTATTTTTTGCTGAGGAAGATTCACCCTGAGCTAACTAACATCTGTTGCCAATCTGCCTCTTTTTTTTTTTTTTATGTGAGCCTTCACCACAGCATGACCACTGACAGACGAGTGGTGTGGTTCCGCACCGGGGAACCGAACCCGGGCTGCCAAAGCGGAGTGTACCAAGCTTGAGCCATTAGGCCATCAGGGCTGGCCCAAGATCACAGATTTTTATATCTTATTTCCCAATAAAAGAGTGTTTCTGGCCAAGTAGCTCCCATAGTACATTAATTCAAATTTTTAGCAGAATAATTTCCTGTTATTGGGAATACAGAAATACTCCATTGAGGATACTATCTTAATCTAAATCTCTCCAGCATTTTCCCCAAAAACTCTATAGTTTTCAAATTGCTTTGCTATATATTATCTCTTATGATAAATATTTTCTGAAATTGATCTGCCCTTGGCATGCTTTCATTTATTAGTAATATTGGTTGGCATTTTTCTTTGCAGGCGAATGTTTGATGGACAAGCCCCAGAGCCCCATACAGCTCCCCTCTGATCTCCCTGGGACCTTGTACGATGCCAACCGGCAGTGCCAGTTCACGTTTGGGGAGGAGTCCAAACACTGCCCGGACGCAGCCAGCACGTGCACAACCCTCTGGTGCACGGGCACCTCTGGCGGGTTGCTGGTGTGCCAAACAAAACACTTCCCTTGGGCAGATGGCACCAGCTGTGGAGAAGGGAGATGGTGTGTCAACGGCAAGTGTGTGAACAAGACTGACAAGAAGCATTTTGATGTGAGTTTTTCTACTGCAATGCATGCATACTCCTTTAAAATTCGATATTGAAAGGGACAAAGTGATGCTAAAACATTTGATACCACGTTAAATACTTCTATCTGTATTCTCTGGTGGGATAGATTATCTTGATAATTGATAACAAGGTAGATTACTTTGATAGTTGATTCTTTGTCCCTGATTTTTCTCTTTTACTTCCTAAAAAGGGGTGCTCCGTAGAGAATCCTAACACTGATGATTTGTGTCCCCCATTTAGACTCCTGTTCATGGAAGCTGGGGGCCATGGGGGCCCTGGGGAGACTGTTCGAGAACGTGTGGTGGAGGAGTTCAGTATACAATGAGGGAGTGCGACAACCCAGTGCCCAAGAACGGAGGGAAGTACTGTGAAGGCAAGCGCGTGCGGTACAGATCATGTAACATCGAGGACTGTCCGGATAATAATGGTGAGTAGAAATGTGGTGAAAAAGATGCGCCCACAAATAGACAGTTAAGGGTTGGAGACTGATAACGTCATCATATCCTTCTTTTTCCAGGAAAAACCTTTAGAGAGGAACAATGTGAGGCGCACAATGAGTTTTCAAAAGCTTCCTTTGGGACTGCGCCCGCAGTGGAGTGGACACCCAAGTATGCTGGAGTCTCGCCAAAGGATAGGTGCAAGCTCATCTGTCAAGCCAAAGGCATTGGCTACTTCTTCGTTTTGCAGCCCAAGGTAGTTACTGTTATTTTTACTTTTTGCCTAAGAACCCAGGCATTGGCTTTCAACCTTTTCAGACAACCTGTGAGCACCTTCTTAATTTGTATATTACAGTGTGTTCAGTTTCACATTAGAACTTTTCTTTTAGATCCATTGGTAACTGCCTGCTTTGAGTTTGGTGGTGTTTCAGCTATGAGTGAAGCTTCAATCCAGCACTTATGATTCTTGCAATTGCTTTTATTACTCTTATATGCAAAGAAAAAGCCTTTACTCATGGTTAGATAAATTACGTATTAACACAGCAACCAACCAGAGGTTTTGGAAAATAGCTTAGGCATAGTCCAAAGTACTTGTTACTGGATGACTAGCAGTAGCATGTGCAAATGGACTTATTAAAATGGAAGTCTGAGTATCGATAACTCTTATGTTTGAGGACATATATGGAACTAGTAGAAGCATTGTTTTGCTGTTTTGCTGAGGGGATAAATCTGACTCTGAGGTACAAAATGGAATTGAATTTATTTGAGATTATCATGTGTCATTAGCCCTGTAGGCTTTGAAAATATTCCCCAGTTGCAGATTTAATATTCAACAAGTGATTTATTAAACACCTACTATTGCCAGGTATTATTGTAGACACTGAGGATACAGCAGTGAATGAATCCACAAAACTCTCTGCTTTCATTGAACTTAGCTAGAGGTGAGACAGGCCAATAAATGAATATTCAAAAAATTTATAATTTTTTCAGATGTCTGTACTTGCTATGGAAAAAAGCCAAAGACAAAGGGTAGTGTGTGACATGTATAGAGTACTGTTTTACTTACAATGGTTAGGAAGGCAGAGATGTGATGTTAATAAGGGAAACTTCCATAGTTACCCTAGCATCATCTCTGCCCCTTTTTAGCATGTGACACCAGATACATGTTTTTCTTTTTAAGGTGGTAGACGGTACTCCATGTAGCCCAGATTCCACTTCTGTCTGCGTGCAAGGGCAGTGTGTAAAAGCTGGCTGTGATCGCATCATAGACTCCAAAAAGAAGTTTGATAAATGTGGTATTTGTGGAGGAAATGGATCTACATGCAAGAAAATATCGGGATCAGTTACTAGTGCAAGGTGAGTTTTAAAACGCCATACTCCCAACGCGTTTATCATTTAGATGTAACGCTTTACAGGTATGGTAAAAATTAGATTCTAAATGTACTTAGCCAGTGAATGAGAGATTATGATATCTATTTTTCTTGCCTGCAGACCTGGCTATCATGATATTGTCACAATTCCAACCGGGGCCACAAACATTGAAGTGAAACAACGGAATCAGAGGGGATCCAGAAATAATGGAAGCTATCTTGCCATCAAAGCTGCCGATGGCACATATATCCTGAATGGTGACTTCACTTTGTCCACCTTAGAGCAAGACATTACGTACAAAGGTACTGTCTTGCGGTACAGTGGCTCCTCTGCAGCGTTGGAAAGAATTCGCAGCTTTAGCCCTCTCAAAGAGCCCTTAACCATCCAGGTCCTTACAGTGGGCAATGCCCTTCGGCCGAAAATTAAGTACACATATTTCGTGAAGAAGAAGAAGGAATCTTTCAATGCCATCCCTACTTTCTCAGAATGGGTCATCGAGGAGTGGGGCGAATGTTCCAAGTCATGTGGACAGGGTTGGCAGAGAAGACTGGTAGAGTGCAGAGACATCAACGGGCAGCCTGCTTCAGAGTGCGCGAAGGAGGTCAAGCCAGCCAGCACCAGACCTTGTGCGGACCTGCCTTGCCCCCGCTGGCAGCTGGGGGATTGGTCGCCATGTTCCAAGACTTGTGGGAAGGGTTACAAAAAGAGAACCTTGCAGTGTCTGTCCCACGATGGGGGGGTGTTGTCTCATGAGAGCTGCGATCCTTTAAAGAAACCCAAACATTACATAGACTTTTGCACGATGGCAGAATGCAGTTAAGCAACGTCAGTGTTGAGGGGGAAGTAAAGTGTGGAAGGGCTGATGCACTGAAATCAAGAAGGCTGGAGGAATCCAGTGTACCTTGCCAGTGATCAACAAGGTGTGTTGATGAGGAGTTGTGAGTATAGACGTAGGTAGAAAAGAAGTTAGATCGTCAGGATATCCTGCCAGTTACAAATTTGATAGGGTAGTTAATGAGGATTATTAATCTCTGAGCAATGATATAGCATGATAAAGCCCCAGGGCATCATTATTATTCCTTTTGTTGCATCTGTGACAAGTTCAACAAAGAAATAGGAACAATTGTCAAAATAAGTTTAAGAAATATTACAATCCTTGTTTCCTGGTACTGATTAAATACTTAGTATCATGGGGGTTGGGAAATGAAAAGCAGGAGAAACATGCGATTTTTAGTTTAAGATGTGGTTTATTTTACCTCACTAGCAGTGGAGGGAGAAAGGAGTACGGATAGGATCTTTGACCAGCACGGCTATGGCTACTGTGGTTTCAGAGAACGCCATCTTTCTACCAAGCGTTAAGAATTTGGGATTGTCCAGCGTGAGAGAAATGTTTAACAACATCAAATGACTCCATCTTTACTTTCTTGTGTCTTTATTTGTGAATTCCTTTTGACAAAGAAACAATTCCATGTAATTGTAAAAATGCAGTAAGTCTGCAAGGGGGAAGAGAAGCAGCGATGTATCGGATGCTGGTAAAAAGCTAGAGGAGGCAGGCTGAGGTCAGTACCTCCTACCTTTCTTTCCTCCATGTATAAGCCTGCTTTAGGAATGTGAATGTGAAAAAACAGTTCGTGTCTCAAGAAAGTCAATAACATCACACTAAAAGGATGTAATGCCAGAACAAGAATGGGGTGCCTAGAATGGGGTCCCCAGTGTTTGGGGACATTGAGATCACTTGTCTCACAGTGGGGAGGCTACTGAGGGGTAGCGGGTCCATCCCCAGCAGCTGGTCCAACAGTCATATCCTGGTGAATGTCTGTTCAGCTCTTCTACTATGAAAGAGAATATGACTTTTTCCATATGTATATAGTAAAATATATTACTATAAATTCTATGTACTTTATAAGTATCGATTTGTGTGTTCCTTCTAAGAAGGACTATAGTTTGTAATAAATGCCTATAATAACATATTTATTTTTATACATTTCTTTCTAATGATAAATCTTTTAAGTTATATCGCTTTTGTAAAAGGACATATAAAAATAGAGTATTTATACAATATATGTTACTAGAAATAATAAAAGGACACTTTTTGAATGTGTTGTGTCTATTTTTTTCGAATGAGAATTAATTCCTGGGAAGGAAATCTGAGACATAAATATTGAATTTGAAGACTGAATATTTTCTCAAATTGTTTGGAACTAGGATTTCTTTCTAATGAAATGTATTTTGTGTCCTTGGTGTATGTGATGGCTACAAAGAAAGGAATCTATGGTATCTTTGATGATAGAGAGGTTTGTTACTAATGCAATAATGTATACCAGTGGTTGGCAGACTTTCTGTAGAGAGCCAATATTTTCAGTTTCGTAATAGTATTTTTTTAGTATAACTATTACTAAATACCATCTCTGTCACAACTACTCAACTGTGCTGTTGTAACGTGAAAACAGCTATAGACGATATATAAATAAATGAGCATGGTGGTGTTCTAGTAGAACTATTTACAAAAACAGACAGTGGGCCAGATTTGTTCTGTGGGCATAGTTTGCAGACCTCTGATGTATACCATAAATTAAATGATAAAATATGGGATTCTGGATGCAGTTTGAGTTTGTATCTCTTCCTAAATTATATTATGAAAGTAAAGTTATGTGAAAGTATTTAAGCTACTGAGTGAAAAATGATGCCTTATAAATTACGTTTGGGATAGGCATGCGTGGTGAATCATGCCCTTCGAATGTTCCACTAGCTCTTCAGGAGTACATGAGGTGTTTTGGAGAAACCCTGGAACGCCCAGGCCACCCTGGGTAGCTTTTGTAAGTTACTATATTCTAAATACTAAATGGTACATCAACGACCTTGAAAAGTTCTGATTGCTTCCAAAGTAACTATATTTCTCTCAGGAAATAGCTTACTTACTAGAAGACTTGGATTACGTGGTTAACTACAGACATTTCCAGCTTTACATTTTCATCCTTTTTTTCACCTTCCTTAGAATAGTTTTCTCAAGTAGTTGTATATAACATGCTAGTTTCAGATCCAGATGATAATTTCTAATTTGCCCTCAGAATTCAAAGTGTCCTTTCCCTGAGCAACGGAATGTAAGAGTCTCAGGAGTCAGGTGTGTAGGTCAGAGAGTAGAGCAGGAGAGGGGAGAGTCGTGTTAGTTTCTGGTTAAGTTTTTTCCTACCTGCGGGGCCACCAGACCAAAAGGTAAAAGTCAAGTCTTCTCACATTGTGGGAACTAGTCCTGGGCCCATAGACCTTAGTCAAACATAGAATTTGGCCACACAATTCAGCGGCCTGAAGTACTCTGCACCAACAACCTCCACCACAATTACTTCTTTGTCTACATTGGTACAAATCCCCATAGTAAGCGACATGAGGGATTCATACACACACAAGAAATGCCCTTGCCCTCATTACTTCATAAGCTATTTGATAAAATGAGATAACTAAAATGATAACTCATAAAGAAGTCATTTCTGAATCTTGCCTAATTCACCGATGAGTTTTTTCTTTTGAAAGGCTTACATTGATTTATGTAGTAAGCAAGGAGACTGAAATTCAAGACACGAAGAGATAAAAACAGCCTAACGATTTTTCGCCATCCTCTTCATTCTCAGTCCAAAGTAATGCCAAGCCACTTTCTAAGTTGCCACCTTATTTTTCAGCCCTCTGCTGGTGAGATTTTCCTTTTATCAATAAACTGAGCACTTTAAAATACTCTGTTTTGGCTGCAGAGAGAGTTTCATTCAAAACACCCATCCAGTTCTGAGAGCTTGACCAGCCACCAGCTTAAAAGAAGGAGAGTTTTTGTGCTGGCTCATGTTGCAGCTATGAATGATGAGCGGGAATGGTGTTGAGTACTAATTCAAACATCTGATTTTCCAAACACTCAATGGGCACTTTCTTTAGCATTTCGATAACCACCTCGCAAGCGCAAGCACAATTTTTGGATCAGAGCTTTTATACAAAAATTGTTTCCAACTTTTTCTCTTTGTTTAATTTATCTTCTAGAAAAGGCCACTACAGATCTTAATGTGACTTAGAAACAATACACAACAGCCACCATTTGCTAGTCTCGCTGGTTTTCCAAAAGAAAAAAAATTATTAATATAAGAGTTAGGGGTGCTAGACCTATCAAGGAAATTGACCAAAGCTACCCCAGTTTAGAAGTGTAGTCTGTTCTGCCATACACATATTTCTGGGACATGAATGAGTTCATACGACATTGGCAGAAATGGAAACAGTAAAACACGGAAGATGCTTTGGTTCATCAACAGGTTTTCCCAGCTAATAAAGGTTTTGTACCTTCTCTTAAGAACAGCAGGACGTAAAATATACTAACTCGTGAACATAGCAAGTCACGGAGGAATATAGAGCTATACACAATGCCCAATCACCCCACTTGCCTCCGTTTGGTTTCAGTCTTGGAAGTTCCAATGACAGTCTTTGGTCAATCCGCTCTTGTCTCCGTAATTCAGTAGCCTGAACTTTTTCTTACAGCAGCCTTCTGTTAATCACATCGCTTTTATTTAGGAGTAAGTTTCTACAATTACAATACAATTATTTGTTTGGAACCTAGCATTTTTTTTTTTTAGCTCTGGTAACTTCTTTTTCTTTTCAATTACTATTGTTTTATGTTCTGCTGCTCTTAAGAGAAAGTACCAAACATTTACTTGCTGGAATGAGGAGATGGACTGCAATTTTATGTAGAGTAATCCAGGAAGGCTTCTCAATAAGGAGATATTGGGTGGAAACCAAAGGGATGCAGGGAGACAGCTTTCTGAGGGATGAGATTACAATAGAAAGGTGGCTGCTGCAGCTGGGAGTGAGCTGGACTTCTTAGGGGAGACAGCAAGGGGCCAGTGTGGCTAGAGTGGCGAGGAGAGGGGAAGGAGAGGAGGTGAGTGGAGGGCTGAGCCCTTGTCCTGCAAGAGTAGGAAGTATGTTTAGGTTTTGTTCTGAGTGAGACGGGAGCCAGTGGAGGGAACTGAGCAGAAGACACATATGGTTTGACTTAACATTTGAACCTGGAAGGGGCCAGATAAAAGCAAGATAGGAAACTATTGCAATCATTGCAATGAACGACAGTGATGGGCTGAACTAGGGTGATAGGCATGGAGGTGATAAAAAGAGGTTAAATTCTGCAGTCAAGACTGAGATTTGCAGATGGATATAGATGTGAAAAGAAAAAAAAACATCATGGATGATCACGAGAGATTTTGGTTTTTCTGTTTTTTTGGTGTTTTGCGGGGAACGGGGTGTTCTGTGCAACAAGATGTGTACTACATTCTACTTAAAAACCAATGGAAGTTAAAAATACAAGATTTTTACTAACTATTGAAACCAGTTAAATTTATAGCTAAATATAAATAATTGTCGAAAATATGGTTTCAAATTAACTGGAAATACAAAAATAATAGTTAGAAGATATACAGTGAAGAATACTTTAATAACAATAATTCTAGTCTAAAACCAAATGCCATATTGACAAAATCATAAAAGAAGAATAGAAATTTCTTATATTATATTGGAAGTTACCAAAAGATGTAATTTTGGTTTTGAATTTGGTAATTAGATAAATATAGATAAATGATATTTCTTGAAAATAAATACTCAAAAACGTCTCTTCATGGAAAGAGGATATATGTAAAATATAACACATACATAAAAGGATGCAAAGCAAAAAGTAAGGTAACAGAATCCCAACCACATGATCATGACAATACATTGTTTAAACTTTCCTATTAAAAGACAAATAGCTTCAGGATGTGTTTAAAAATAAAATCCAATGACATGATAAATAAAAGGAAACTATCTAAATCAAAATGATGTTTCTTCAAAGAAGTCCAAAGATTTATCAGGCAAACAGTGGGAAGAAAGTAGAAATAGATTATGATATCAGCCAAACAAACAAACACATAGATGCAGAGAAGAGATTGGTGGTCACCAGAGGGGAAAGAGGGTGGGGAGAGGGCGAGAGGAGTAAAGCAGGACCGTGTACAGCGAGGAATGACAACTAGACTTTTGGTAATGAACACGAGCTAGTCTATACAGAAGTCAAATATATAATGATGTACACCTGAAATGTATATAATGTTATAAACCAATGTGACCTCAATAAAAAATAAATAAATACAAAAGGAATTGTTGCAAAATAATGTATTGTGGATTTAAGGTACAATCTACAACAAAATACCTGTCCCAGATGATTGAATATCTATATACCCGTTTAAAATTGTTAAAAATACTAAGGATAACCAACAGGTAAGGACTATTCTATTTCTTTTTAAAACCCCTCTCTAGGTAAGGGCAAACAAAATATGTAAGGAAAAAAACCCACAAAACTTTACAAAAACATAAAACAAGACTTGAATAAAGCAAGAGGCATACAAATTTCCTTGACTCTAAATTGTAAACATTTGTGTGTGTGTGTGTGTGAGAAAGATCAGCCTTGAGCTAACATCCATGCCAATCCTCCTCTTTTTACTGTGCAAGATTAGCCCTGGGCTAACATCTGTGCCCATCTTCCTCCACTTTATATGGGACGCCGCCACGTCATGGCCCAACAAGCATTGTATCCATGGGCGCCCGGGGCTCCAGACCCTGGCCGCCAGCAGCGGCGCGCCCGCACCTAACCGCTGCGCCACAGGG